TAGTTTTTCAGTTCATGCTGAAGTACACTTGCCACAGGTCATGCTCAGTACTTGTTTAAACCATTGTCTTTTGGATTTTTTTCTGCTAACTCATCAATAGCAGATTATACAGCTGGATCACAATTGTAGCAGTGCAAAAAAATCACAATCACCTAGTTCTGAGTTGTGTTTCAAGCTGGAATTTAAGACTATCACCTGCAGGTTTCAAACCTTTCCGGTGAACTATTAGGCAACCCTGGGCTCACTTTTGAGTTAACACGTGCTAATTATTGTTTTACATCAAAACCAGGTGCGATTTCCAGTTTGGATGGAAATTCCTGGAGATTGTGGATGAGATGGAACCTAAAACTCACAATCTAAATTGAAGGGGGGGGCTGGGTGAGACCATCTTGTTCAAAACCAAATAATTCTCATAAAATCAGTGTGAAGAGGAAAATGACCATGCTTCTACCTATGCCACACAATTTCTACATCGGATACAATGCAGCAGGACTCAATTGCTCATGTTAATTTGCTTTGAAAATTCTCATACAATCAAAGTTAGCAGTGTCTAGAAAAGACAACCTGGGTAATCCAAACTGACCCTCTTGTATTTTGCAGTACTTTTCTGTCTGTACATTCACATATATAACTCATCAATTTTTTTTGTATGGATTGTACATAGTCTATCCCACTTTTTAAAAAAGTCTCTCTAATCTGCAATTTTACAATAGCCTAGGTCCTAGTTTATTTCCAAAATGATCAGAGTTTGTCCAATATAACACATCTGCACATTATAACGCTTAAAAAAAAACACTATTCTAGGGGCTTTTAAATCCTCTCCTGGGCTTTAATAGTGATCAAGATGGACTTTTTAAAAATTGAATTTAGTTCTACAGTATTATTTTGCTTCCATTTAACTCCATATGGCTACTACAGTTACATTCCATCCATTACTGTGCACTGGTGAATGCTGTTCCTTCATGGGCTCCCAGCTGTTATAAAATGTACAACAATTATGAAGAGCCTAAGTATACTATATTTAGAATATTTGAATTTAAGCTAGTTGTCATATCAACTGTCTTTGTCAATTCTGCTGCTTCCCCACATGCACATAATCTTCAAAATACAGAGAATCAATATGAAAATAATGTTAAAACATACAATTGAAATATTAATGAACACACTAGAAATTAACATTCAATACAATGCAGTCACCTAATCTATACAGCCTCTTTATTCTCCACTGAAAAAAAAAATGATCCAAATGTTGGTGCTTGGTAATGACTACTGTATAATCAAGATGAGGAGCAGTCACTAGGTGGCACACACGTGTGAGGACCAGGCAGATTTTGAAGATTGCCTATGTTTATATTTTTACACACTCACCCACCCACCCACTCCACCATGATACCTGTGTACTGGAGATAATACAGCAGCTTCTTCTACATTTAAAAAGGGGCAGTGTGCAAATCTGGAGAGTGAGCCAAAACAGAGGTTGGGAAGGAGACAGTGCACAAGGACTGCATCTCTTTGAAAATGCTTTGAGATCTACAGAGATGGCACTAGAATTCTCTCTCCCTGTATCCTTAGTTTCTGCAAGGGTTCCAGCCAACAACCTCGGCCCATTCTATAAAGCGTCAAACCTTTTCCTTTGTTGGGTTTTGGGGGTTCCTCTCCTTGAGTTTATTTCTATGGAAAGGAACCATCAGGACCTTTCCTTTTTCCAGTCCTTACTGAGAGTTGGGCAAAAGATAAGGCAGAAAAAAATAACTTAACCCAGAAGATAGGGGCTTGAGAGCTACAAATATTCTCTAAAATAAAACCTTATTTAAAAGGAAGACACAGAAAACATTATTTCAGACACCAGAGTCTTCCTTTAACTTGGTTTGTATACAGTCAGATACTGGCATGTTCATTGCTCAACAATTGACCCATTATTGTATTAACGGATACACAGATAACCTTATCACAGATTCAGTAAATGAAGCCGTTTGCAAAAATCAGTTATTAAAAAAAACGACAATGTTATAAGTTTGTGCTACCTCTAAATTTACAACTTAAGATTTCAGTTTTAAGAAAAAGCATCCCTATTCAGTAAGCACACTTCAGCCCAGGGAATAGCTATGTCTGAGAAGTTTTTTCTAGTGCCAGTCTACACTATTCATGGGCAGGCTAATGCTATCATACCTTAATATTTCTGAACACTAAACACACACATTTGAAAATAGAATGCAAAACAAGCACAAAATGCATCCTTGTTTATGAATGGATGTGAGAATCTAAGAGAAACTTGGTGGGTTTTCCTCCTCATACAAATTTCTATATAAGTATTGGCACAAGTTAAAATTTCAACCAAACATAGCTTTTGAAACCACTCAGTTTTCTACCATTCTCTATTTTAGTTGAAGAGTGAGCTAATACATCATAGTATTATATAACTAGGAATGAGCCTAAATTCTTGCATACCTTGCGGTGCCAAACAGGGTCAGGGTTTTTTTGAGATCATTCTCTAAGTAGAAGATACACATATGGAGTTCTATGTTCAGTTCCTCTGGTGTATCACAGCAACAGTGTCTTTCAGCCACCTTCCTACCCCATTTCTGGAAGTTCAGATCAGTCCCTGACAATTAGAGCAGCCCAAATGCTGCTTTAAATTTGCCAGTTTGCAGCAGACCCCAAAGGAAAAGTTATGTCAGCAGGGATTGACAGTGTGTAGCATTCTCTAGCCATGCATTCTTTTGCTCCCTAATCCAGTGTGGATTGGGAGGGGTGGTATAGAGGTACTATGATGGCTTCTCTCAGCTCATGGATTCCCCCATGCTGACGGAATCCCCAGCTGCCCATGTAGGAAAGTTTAAAACTCCTTTTGTGCTGCCAGTGGCATAATGGCAGAGCTGGGATGGTCAAGCATCTTGCTCAAAATCTTTCATAATTGTTGAAAGAACTATTAAAGTTTGTTTCATTACAGCATTTCCCTTGAGTCTTATAAACTGTGTGACATGCACTTTTTTTCTGTGGGAAAAGCAATGCAGGAGAAGAAGGAAGGTGAAGACATCCCGCCCACAGAATGATGAATAACTCAATATTCTGTCTCTCATATGTCATGGCCAGAAGCCTGAATGGACCAGCCAGTGATTCTTATTCATGTGAGAAACAACAACGTGAAATAATGGTTTTCTGTAATGGTGTATCAGTATCAGGAAAGCTGCAGTACCAATGCCAGATCATTATTCTGAGAGAACCACTATTTAAGTGACATTATGGCCACAGTGAATAAGCAGGAACTTGGTGAGGACAAGCAAAGTGAAAGACCTTGAAAGTGGAACAAAGAAAATAGCAGTTCATTGTCAATATTTATTCCTGATGGTATTTAATCAATATAACCTATATACAATTACAAAAATAGACTGTGCCAAATATCTGCTGACAGAAATGAATCTTATGAGCTGGCTAACAAGGACTATATTAACTTCCACTTGCTTATTTTCTGTTGGTTTTGTTTAATCTGCCTCCACAGAAAATGAAAAATACAGATTCCCTACACTGTAGTTTTATTAGTTTCCAAATGAAGGGTACAAATCACTTACTTGCCTTCATAAAACAATTTTTAAAAATAGTTATAAAATTTTATGATGGTTTGGTGAGGAGATGTCATCATTTTCCACGCTTCATGATTCAGAATAATTAATTTAATAAATGTGCCATATGAGAAGAGTAAATAATGGAGAGAGATGAATGATCACTGAAGCATATACAAATTGAAAGGAAAAACAAATTACCAGCGCAACACTAAACATAAAAAGCTTTGAGGGATATTTTTCTGATAATTTGATTGGTGCATTAACCTTTAACAGCCCAACTTTCAAACATGGGCACTCAAAGAAGAGGGGTGAAATTTCCAAAAGCACCTAGATGATTTAGGACCTTACAAACCTAAATCTCATTGAAAGTCAGTGGGACTTCAGGTCTTAAGTGTCCAATTTATATTTAGGCTCCTAAATCAGTTAGGTGTTGCAATGCTAAGTGCAGGAATGCCTAAATATCTTTAAAAATCTGAGCCTTAGTCTCCAAGTTATGTAGGTGCTTTTGAAAATGTTACCACAGCTTTCTGTCATATATGGATGTCTCAGTTTGGCATTTACGCTTGTAAATATCCATTTTATATGCCTGTACTGTATGCCAATTAAAGTGTCCAAAAAGGAGGATTTGAATGTTCTATTTATCTGATCCTGTTTCAGACAGATTCTATTTTTAAAATATTTGGATATTTAAAAACAAAAACACAGCAGTCTGCATTATTTTCTCATTTGTTTTCATGTTGAGGACAGAGTTAACAAAGGATTCGTGCTCTTTCCCCTGCCCCACTTATATTGGCCAGAATCTCTGATAATATTTATTATTACAGATCACTTTTTCAGCAATCTTTAAAATCGCTTCCTAATTCAAATATTATATAATTTCTATAGAGCACCTGAAAGGTAACAGACAAGTAAGAGTAAAGGAGTCAAAATGCACATAAGCTTCATGACAGCTCCACCACCCTTTTCTATAGTGCACAGTTAGATATAACAACTGTTAATCCTTTAGATCCACGAATACAGCTTCTTTTTCCCTAGTTGAGCACTATCATCAAAATACTGATCTGACTATGCAAATACATGGAAACTGATAATTTAAAACATCAAGTTAAGGTAATTGCTTAAAATTGTATGAATAAAAATAAATTTCTGTATCAGGACTGGATTGTCATTTTGGAAAACACTACGATATTAAGAATTATTCTCATCAATGCAGCCAATCAAAGCATTGCTTCTTCTTTCCCTACTTTATTCCTACAAAAATAACACTACAGATTAGAAAAATGAAGCAAGACAGACCCAATCATCTGTACTTTCCACTAATTTGTATATGTACATGTGATTCTAGGTCAATATATTTATTTTGTGAATGTTGTATCTTTGGATATTATCAAATCTTTTTGCAAGTTTTTTGCCAAAACATTTGGTGCAGTGACTTACCGGCAGTGTTTGTGTGATCCTGTTAAGGTTTCAATCACAAAGCATTCCCCATCATTGAGACAGTATGCAAGATCCTTGTCTTTGCATGGCTTAAAGTGCTCAGATCGCTCAGTGGAATACGTTGTGGTATCTGTGGAGAAAACATAGGGAGATAAATGCCATTAGACTACCATCAAAATGTAGGATGCCATTAAAAATTGCATTAAAGACCTTTGGAATCATTGGTTTCACTGACATTGGGTTGACGAAGATAATCCATATAATTAACTTCATTTCAAAGTTGGTTTAAACCTTCTAGTTTCCTATATTTGCATGCTACTTTCAAAGAAATAGCTTATCCTTAAAAGGTCTTTTTTCTAGTCCAACAACCATGTTGTTACATACAGAAGTGCCAATTTAAATCCATGTCACCATTTTCCTTTAAAAATACCTTTAGACAGAATTTAAAATTAAATGACAAAATAATGTTGCACTGTCCACTGCATAGATCAATTTCCATTAAAACCTTAGTAATTTTCCTTTTGTTGCTATACTTTCAGAAATCTGCCACGTTTGACCTGTGGCTTCTGCAGCAAAATGTCACAGAAATGGCAACCCATTTCATCCTTAGACCATCCACATTTATTGGAGAAAGTAACAGTCAGTTTATTTCCAGTTGGTTAAATTTTTTGAATTCAACTTATTTTCTTCTGAAAAATGGCCTTCTTTTAAAATAACATTTTTTAACTTTTTCATATTTTCAAAAATATTCCAGTATAAGTCAAACAATCTTCAACCATTAAGAAGAAGAGGTAATGAAGAAAGGGTGAAAAGAGCCTACTCAAGATTCTCATTCATAAAGGGCATGGATTTCAGACCCCTTTAACCTGAACTGTGTCATTTTTCAGGGATATAGTCTTCCAGCTATAGGGGAAACATGTAATGACTAAGTTTTAGAGGAAAACAAAACTTAGTTTAAGCTATAGAAGGAAAAACATGGAAGCAGACAATTGAGTATATTCTTAAACTTGGGACTCCCTTTCTGCTGCCGGATCCATTTAAGAAACCCTTAGCTGGCAGTTTTGCCTAAGCGTAGGTGATTATTGAAAGAGTCTTTACTAGCATAATCACTTGAAGAAACGTGAACATATTTATGAGCAAGCATTACAATCACAGTTGTCAACTTTCATGCGGTAAATAAGCACCCCGGCTTTCACAATAAGCCAAAAATCAAGTTGATCCCATTTCAAAACAAAGCCAAAACACGCCAATCTCTAAGAACCCCAGCACTCTATATGACTAGATCCCCTGGGCATGCAGTCGGGGACTGTGGTGGGCCTGCTGTGCACCCCTGACTCTCTGCCCCCTTTACCGCTGCTTGCTGGGAGCCGATCAAATAAAAGAAGCAACAAGCTACAAGCCAAAACCTAGCCAACAAGCAACTCACAAGCCAATTAAGCCAAAAACAAGCCCAATTTCTGCGGTTTGTTCGCGGGTTTGGTATGTTTTATTACAATACGCTGCTGCAAAAGGCTAAAACAAAAACAAAAGAAGTCCCTTGCAATTTAAACATATTTCTCTTATCCTTCCCTCTAACCGCACCCCTCCACCACCACCCTCCAGATTGGTCAGGCTCAAAAAAATGTTTTCATTAAATAACATTCTACAGCTGGCAGCAAACTGCTTCATTAGCTTCCTTTGTTTTCCCCTTTTGTGTGAGAAAACAGACAGTTTGAAGCATTTATTCACTTAGATTCAACAGCTCAGAAGTGCAGGAAGCACAAAAAAGAAAGAAAGAAAGAAAGAAAGAAAAGAGAGATTTGACTTTACTAGAGTCTTGACTACTTTCTAGGAAAGTACTGAGAAATATCACTATGACTGTCGTTTTGGAGAAGTATTGCCTAAATTTAAATGCACTAT